CATAAGTGCAATGGTTGTTCTAAAATATTTTCTTTCCATAAAGAAAACCCCTCAGAGTTTTGTCGAAAGCTGGAGGCGGCATGAAATTTGACGGAGGCAGCTGCCTCACAATTCTCTATGCAGGAAAAAAACCCTACTTGGTAGCTCGTCGCACAACTGTCAAACTGTCCATCGAAAGGAAAGGCAAAAAACATTGGGGAAAGAACCCAAGAGTGATTCAAGACATCCAGACTCTGACAGGGGCCCTGAAACATGCCAGGGATTGTGGATATTTACTCTTTTAAGGCCCTCGTGAGCTGTTTCCAGGGGGCCCAGAATTTCTAGAACCGCCCCAGAGCCCACCTACTGCTGCCTCGATGTGAGATCTTGATTGACAGGTTCAGTCCTCCAACCTTCACTCTGACACACACAGAGGGTTGGTGTTCACTCTGTTAGAAGACAGCAGGATGTCATTAAGTCTGTGAGAGGAGCCTTTAATGTAATTAACAGTGAGGAGACGAGGGGTGGCAACCGTGAGGTCGAGTAAATCATCTCACCCGCCCCTCCCCTTCTGCAACAGTCACACACCCAAACACACTCCCTCCCCTTTAAACTCCTAAGAAAGTGTGTCTTTAATTAAAAATCCCCCATTCAACCCGCACACACACACACACACACACACTGTACACAAACACGGTTCCTGGTTTCTAGTCAGAACATGCAGGCTTGATTAGTATTAATCCTTATCTCCAGAATGGACAGCTTCTCATTTGTGTTTTTTCCTCGGCTGGCTAATTTCATGAAGAGCATAATTACAGCATTTTCAATTTCGGGCCCTCTGCAGAGTTATGAGGCTGACAGTCTATCTCTGCACTGCAGCTGAGAGGGTCGGTGTGTGTGTGTGTGTGTGTGCGTGTGCGTGTGCGTGTGCGTGTGTCCGTGTATCCCAGAGTGCTTGTGGATGTGCGATTGTGTTTTTGTGACTAAAATGAGAGGGAGAATTAGCAGGGTAGGCGGGTGACTAATACAAGAGATAATTTCATGCCAAATCCAAATTGGAAAAGCAGCTGAAATCATGACAACTGTGTAAACCACAAAGTAGACAGCAACTCTTGTGCAAATAGGCTTGATTTACTAATAATGGCAAGTGAAAATATTAAGATAATGTGGGTGCAAACATTTTAGTGCCAGCAAACTGATGCCTGGTCCAGAATGTGTTCAGTAACAGTGATATCCAGTAATCTGATTTACTTGCTGTCTCTGCGGTGTATGTTCCAACAGTAGGAGGATGAAAGGCATGTCAGCTCTGATTAGAGCTACTGAACTGGCACAGTTTGAGTAAATGTGTGCGCGTGTATTCATGCTGCTGCTTTGGTCACTCTCCAGTAGAGAGATCGGAGCTGCCCTAAGGCAGTGGCCATGTTCCCATCCTTCCCAGCTCCTCCTTTCATCTCCCTTCATATCTTTCTCTTCCTCCTCATCCTCTTAGCGGTGCAACTGTTTCCCGCCTGATATCTCCACTCTTACCTCTCACTCAAATGCTCAGTAAACAGCTGCCATGCATATCTATGCACTTATGTGCGAGAGTGCGTTTTCAGCTAAAGCAGCTTGTGTGTATATTCGGATGCAGGCAGCTCATCAGCAATGCTCTGTCAGCCTTGATAATAACTTGGGGCCCCGAGGCGCTGTGGCCCTCGATACTTTGTCACAGTCCTCCAGCTCTGCAAACACAGGCCACCGTTGCCAGTAAAGCATCTCTGCCTTCACTGATAATGAGCTCTGTGTCCTCAAAGATAGTCTAGTGTGGACGGGTGCCAGATTCCCTTGAGGTGTCGAGCACCACACGACTTCTGACACCAACAGGACAGCAGCTTAAGTCCTGAGCACACACTCCCACTGACTAATAGACAGTCATTAATATTTAAACTTGATTAAATGAAAATGAAATGGTGCCCAAGGGGAAAGTTAGTAATCACGGCAGTAGAGAATAAGGTAGTGGAAAGAAATAGAGGGTGTCTAAAAAGTCAAATAAGTGAGTATTAAAGTTTTACTGGGTAAGTGTGTGAAGCATATAGGGTAAAAAATGTTTCAGACATCCTACATACTGGAGTACTGGAGATCATAAAAACCATTCATTATGCCAAATAGCCAAACACTGATGATAAGCCAGCAAATAAACTAATAAAGAAATAGCACTGCAGCATCCATATCCATTAGTTTGCATCCATTAGTTTTAAACAGCACCCCTTCAAGAAGACAGAGTTCCTTTTGACCATAAATCTACCTCTTAAAAGCCTAATGTGACACGGAGACACATATTTAGCTAACAGTTTAGCGCAGTAATTAGCGTTTGTGAGCTCTCTGCCTCTGCCAAGTGCCAGCCGCCCAACATCTGTTCCTCGGCTGCCGCCGGGGCCAGCACTCCCACCCTCGTCCCTCCCTCCTCCACCAGCCATCTTTGCCTCTCTGCAGGTGGCAGAACACTTATCAGGTCTGGAGTGAAGTGATAGGCGGATGTATAAGAAGAAGAAAAGCCACAGGTCTGTTGCCCCCCTCCAGAGCAGTTTGAGTGTTCATTTGAGTCTCTAAAGGAGGAGGTCCTCCTCCTGCAGTCACCTTGACCCGTCTCCCCGCTCCCCCATCAGCTACAATTAAATCACGAGGAGCATGTCGGGGCCACCCGGTCTCAGCTGTGGGCGTGTGCCATCAGCATATCCTCAGCATATTCACCCTGATGGGAAGCCTCTGCACTTGCCTGTGTATATTGGATTTATTTCTCGCTCAGGCGGTGATGGATTTTCCATTTGCCTGTTTTGTACAGTGGTGCACCATTGAGAGAAGCAGCACATCAAGACTGTTGCATCTTCTGTCACTCCCCGTCGCACACCGTTTGCTCAATGCCATTTTATGATTCTGCTCTCCTCGGCAAGCCATGCTTCTCCATAATGTGGGGGCCCATTTAACCCTGATAAGTCATTGTTCAGGCAATACATAGGGGGGAGTCTTTACAGTATGCAGACAGTGTCGACAACCCCCTCCCTATTCTCTCATTCTCTGTTCTCCTTTTCCCATTTTCTACTCTTTCTTTATTATTTTGCCTTTAGCTCCTCTGTGGGCAAATTGTCATTTCAGAGCCCCTGCCCCAACAGGAAGCGAGGAAGGGAGGGTAATGGGAGGTGGGGTGAGGTGGAGGGGATTATGACAGAAGCAGGATGAAAGGGGAGAGTAAAGGGGAAGGCGGTAGAAAATAAAGTTGCTCTTATCAGAACTTGCCAGGAGCAATGTGCACACAAAGCTGCTTGGGAATCCAATTTAGTCTTTGCTGTTAGTTCAAGTGATATCAGCGCAATTAGCTGTCACAGGTCAGAGTGTGAGCCGGACGTGTTAAGTGATTTCCTGAAATCCCACTAGTGGGCGGGGACGTCAAGTTGCCAGGAAGAAGAAAAAAGAAAAAGGAACAACTTCCCTCACCAACTCTGCAAATGGACCGCTCTCTTTATATGGCCTGCTAATAAATGTCACCCACCTCTTGGCTCTTTTGTTTTGCTCTTGTCAGCTGCTCACTCTGGATTTAAATGGATTTTCTCCCTCTGTATCTCTCCACAAGGGTGACTTTGAGACGTCGCAGTTTTATTCGAGCCTTGTGTAACTCAATTGTGCTGTTTGTTGTTTTTTTAGTGAGCTACAGAGAATGTCTTGCTGGGGGGGCAAACAGCAGGGATGCCCTTGGTGTTTTTCACAAGAGCAATTAGACAGAAGATGCATTGCCGGGAATATGATCTATTTATAAACCTCCAGTGTGAGTTTCTGCTGCTGTGCTCTGTCTGTATCACAGTTTGTTTTCAACATTGCATAGCCTACGTAACTCTAAAGTGGGAGTAGCAATTACCCAACAGGGGGAAAACTCAGTGAAAGCCTATTTATGCTAACCCAGCTCTCCTGTAGCATTCACGCACTTCTTGAATGGACTCTGTTCTGCAGCTTCCCTTGACTAAGCAGTATTCCAGAGGTGATAGATGTGTGCAACGTGAAGTTGCTAGTGTAACCTCCAGGACTGCCTGGGAACATTGGGAAGAGAGAAGTTATTGAAGTTTGCACTCGCTGTATCTTTATGCATTTATAATGCAGGAGAGTAGCAGGCACAGGCGTTTTGGACGATGCGTTCCTCAGTGTGCAGGCTCAGCGATTGACACAATCCCTCTTCCACTTCAAAACTGTGTTAGACAACAACTCAAAGACTTTCAGAAAAATGGAGTAGGCACAACAGAATGCAAAGAAATCCCATGGCTCTACTCTGACTTTGGGATATTGGTGAAAAAGGAAATAATTCAGTTCCAAAAAAAAAGAAAAAATAATCTAAGAAAAAATTAAAAATACATAAATAAATAAAAATAAATAAATAGAATGTGCACAACAAAAGAAACAAGATATTTTCGATTTAACCATCCTTCTACACCCACTTATCTTTAATTCTCTATCTGTACTCCACCTGATTTACTGTGATTAATGTGACTAAAAAGTATTCCAGAGGTGATAGACGTTTGCAGCGGGAAGTTGCTGGTGTAACCTCCAGGACTGCCTGGGAACATTGAGAGAAGTGGGAGAGAAGTTATTGAAGTTTGCACTCGCTCAAACACTTTCATAAAAATGGAGCAGACAGAACAGATTGCAATGAAATCATGTGGCTTCACACTGACTTAGTAATAGTGGTGAAAAAAGAAATAATTCAGTTTCAGAAAAAGAAAAAAGAGAAAAAAATAAATTAGAAAATAAAACAAAAAAATAAAAAAAAACAGAAAAATAAATTGAAAATAATGTGTGTGTACAATAAAAGAAACCAGAAATTTACATTAAAAATAAAGTTTGTTGCACTGAAAAACTTCAGTCGTTTCCCTTTTTTCTCCAACATCCCCAAGTCAGTGTCTTTGATTCTCCACCTGTATTCCACCTGATTTACTGTGATTAACACTGACCTCCTCTTTGTCTCTCCACCTCCTCCCTCCTGCCTTCCTCATCTCCAGGGGAGATCTGTGCGTTCAACATCCACGGGCTGGAAGCTCCATTCGAGGCAGTGGTGCTGAACGGTACATCTGGTGAGGGCCAGCTGAGGGCCCGCGGCCTGGTGGACTGCGAGCTGCAGAAGGAATACACCTTCATCATCCAGGCTCACGACTGCGGCTCTGGCCCCGGTGGCACGGAGGGCAAGAAGTCCCACAAGTGAGTACGACTGTACTACTGAAATATGACAGAACGCACAAGTACATGTACAGTACTTAACGATCCTTTCCAGACAAAGAGTGGGATTCCTTTGATAGACGTTGTGCCTTTGTGTGAATTTCAGGACAGATCTGCCGTGTTTATACAAAGAGAAAACCTCCAAGGAAAATACAACAGGCAATTAAACAAACAAGACTTTTCATAATTCATATAAAATGCTAGAATGCTAAATCATATAAAACTACACTTACATATTGAATAATTCATCATTCATTTAGACAAAGGCTAAAGTCCAATCAAATAATAAACTGTGCCAGAAAACATCAGTGGCTTAAAAAGTATGACAGATTTGGCTCTTTAGAACTCTCAGTAGACATTTTCTGAGCATAAATAGTTCATGTGTGTGGGTGCAAATGAAGGTAGGGATGACTACGGATAGAAGGGAGAATGGCTCAGAATGGTAGTGAGAGAACTCAGAGAATACTCAGAATGGTAGTGAGTATTTGGGGCTAATATCTAGTTCAAGCAGCACCTTAACACCGTGTGTCAAAGACGTTCTCATTCAAGTTCATGGATGATCCACTGCAAAACTCTCTGGAAATTGTCCACTTAGTGATTCTCAACAAAAGGGAATGTAGATAATCAGGTGCAGATTCTTCAGATCAACAGGGCTGCTAGTTATGGTGGCCTCACTGTCTTAAGTCAGTCTTTTTCTCATCTTGACGTCCCTACAAAATCAAACATGTTTAATATCATCATAAGTTTGGCTCATGGAAATACTGAGGTTCAATGACGTGAACATTGTCGACAACAAATACCTGCACTTTCTCCAGGACCAAACAAGAAGAAACAAAGCGGGTAGACAGTAAACATCTCATCTTGGATGTGAGGAGAAACATCTTCAAGAAATTCAAGCAAGTCCAGTTGCCCACCATACACTTAAAGACTTTGAAAATACTTTGAAAATCGGGTATCAAAGGACTTTGGAATAAAAACGAGCTGCGTAAACACAACTTGTTTGCTTCTCGGGTGAAAGTCCTGGGTTTGTTGGACCAGCCCATACATATAAGGACTTTCCAGCTCTTTATATCAGTGGTTTCCAACTGGTGGGTTGCGGTCCAAAAGTGGGTCGCAGGTTTATTCTGAATAGACCACAAGTGACCTGCAAATGTGTTGTGTATGTAAAAAAATATGCTTAATTTTTAAGTACACTGAATTTCTGGCACAGAGCTTTTATTTTGAAGTGCCGTTTTCTGCTGTATATATGTGTATGTATATTGAGTCACCAGCAGACAAAAAACTAGCTCAATAATATGGCCAAACACAAGTATGATGCTGAATGTATCAAACTGTGTGGAACCTTGAACTAATGACTAAGGAGAACTCTGGATCCCGTGGCCAGGCAAATTGGGAACCACTGCTTTATATTGCATTGATACTAGCAGCGTTTTGGACACATCCTCCATCCCTCCTGCCCACCCTATAGGGACTTCCCAGTTCTTTTTATTATTTACTGGCAGCATCTCAAACTGACACCATCCAGCAACAGGTGCCGTCCAGCTGCGCTATGAACTGACGCCACCCGTCCTTGTATCATACTGATGCAACAGGTACTGTCTGGCTGTCCAGCAACATACCTAACACTGTGAAATGTGCGTTACAAACTGACACCACCCGGAGGCGTATCATACCGCTGTGCAAGGTGGCTTTCGGAGTCAGGTGTCTGACGCAGAAATCACTCACAAAGCGGCGGTATTCGACATCTTCAGAGTGAAAACGAGCAGCATAAACACAATTTAGACTCTAGACTCAGTCTAGCTTCATGACTAAATGTCAAAAACATGCATAGAAGTATGTCACCGTGCATGTAATTCAGGGGTCGCGTTAACTGGATATTCGGTCATTGACTGGTTTTTTACAACAATGACCGGAAAATCTGAAGGCCGTAGGTCATTTTGACTGGTTGCAATTACCACCCCTGCCCACTTGGCGGTAGAGTGCACAGTCAGTGGTTTAAGTAAGTGGCTGCTGTTTTCACACTGCAGAGAAAAAGTCATTAATCTGCTTCATGTAGCGTTGACATAACGGCCTGGACACACCAGATGCGGTAGTGCCGCAGAAGTCCTCGCAGGCGCTTGACTGTCCACACAAGCAGCGCATTTCTCCTGCGCTCTCCGCATAAGTTAAACATCGACTCCACTCGTCTGTTCCTGTCTGTACTCGTTTTTTCACTTCAACAGGTCATTTTAAACATGGGTAAGTCCATATTTTAATCATTTTTTATAACGTAATAAGTTAATGACAATTTGTCATTGCATGTCCATGTATTGAATGTGTTGGGTAAACACTGAATGAATAGGGCATATTGTTCTGACCATTTTATTTATGTAGTTATGTCTGTAGGCTCGATGACACAAAATTAAACTTGTAATGAAGTGATTAGGGTATTGAAAAATGTGTTCGGTTATGCACTGTTGTGTTATTTTAGTCTTTTCTGTGTCCGACTTCCTGTTTGGTACGAACCGCTCTATCCAGCTTGACAGAAGCGCTCGCGGCTCGCGTGAAAAATAGACCAGACGCCGAACTGAAGCGCTGCGGTGTGTGGATGTCTGTTCATCTTTTCGTTCATGTCCTTATTAATGCACACTTTATAACTTGCTTGTTGGATTTATTAAAAAAGAAAGAATGAAAACTAAATGTATTTGAATATCTTTATTATCATTTAAAAACGAAAATTAAAATGACCGGTAAAAATAGATTATAACTGGATTTTTATGACCCTGTTGGTCAAAATGACCGGCGACGAAAAAGTCTAGCGCAACGTTTGATATAACTGCAGTTTTACTGATTGTGTTGCACTGGTGAGGTTCTCCAAAGGCACCTTTAAGTTAAATACAATAATACCTGGGACCTTTTAGCTCACCTGGTAGAGCGTATACCATTACGGCTGTGTCCTTACTGTGGGGCCCTGGACATGAGTGCGGCCTGGACTAGTTGCTGCATATCAAGGAGCCTAGGCCTCATTCTCTGCTGCCTTTTCTGTCTCTCTATCACTATCATAATAAAGTAGAAGTGCCTAAAAAGTAACCTCAATAATTAGAATAATAAATCTGCACTACACCTACTTGATATTTTCTTCTTGCATGTAACACTGATTAATGATGGTGCAGTCTAACTTGGTACCTGTCTAACTTTATTTTGAAAGATAACTAAGTGCACACTCAAGTCTACCTTCCTCCCACCTATGATAGTCCGTCATTTTAAAAAGGAAAGATGCCTTTCTAATTTTATTTTCACACAAAGTGCTTGAAGAAAGCTCTCCCTATCAAGTTAAATATTACTCAGCACATTATGCCTTCAGCTCTTTCCTCTCCTGCCATCCTCTTGGCTACAGTGTAATCCCAGACTGTTCAGAGGACCATCCATGCCAGCACAGATGCAGCACAACACCCACCTCCACCTCCACAAGCACCATAGACTCCTTTAAAAAGGTCAACTGATAAAAACAATTTGTCACACTTTGTTGGCCCTCCTGAAAGCAGCTTCTGTCTGAAATTGCTCTCCGCTCAGCCTTTCAGACAACTACCTCTGTCCGCTGTGTGCTGCACATCTTCCCTCTGTGTGTTACCGCTCAACCCTCTCACCTCCGCCAACAATGGAGCCAAGCACAGGAATCTATCATCTTGTCTAGCTTATAGATGCTCACACACACACATACACACACAAACTCTTTACACGCTATACCTGGAATTATAGCAGCAGGGGTTTCTAGCCTCGGTGAAAGTTTTAAATCAGTAGAGCGTAACTTGTATTTACTGTATCTTGTTTGCTGTTAGAAGCGTGTGTGTGTGTGTGTGTGTGTGTGCAAGGTAAAAAGGGTGATGGATTTGTGCTACTATTTCCATGCTGTTGATCATGTTTTATATCCCTTTTAAGCACCCAGGCATTCTGTTATGTCACACTATTACTTTCTATCAACATAACTCACTGCCCGCTGTGACGCAGACCCACTTTGGTCGGTGTGTACAGACAGGCCGATGCTGGAGGGGAAGTGAATTTGGGGACACTCTTAATGGCCTGTCCTCTTGCTGGCAACTCTCAAAGGATGATGCTGGCCTTTCACTGCTCCGCGCCGCGCTACATCGTACCGCCCGCTCTCTCCGATTTAGAAAGAAGCTAACAGGGAAGAGGAAGAAGAATCTCCGCCTTAGGCTGCGCTCAAATTACACATGACACGGCAACAGCAGAGAAGGAAAGCAGTCAAGAAAATTAGCAGCTAAAGAGGACAGGGGAGAGGATCAGGAGTGACACGGGATGAGTTTAAACTTCACCCTCTATCCTCTATCCCTCCCTACTCTGCTTAGCACTGGCTTCTGCCCTACTTCTCACTTTTTCTTTTTTTTTTCTTTCCCCTGCCCTGCTACGGCTCAGCTAGCTCCTGCTGTCTGACTACGTCCTTCTTTCTGTCAGTCCCTCTGTCTCTGTTACAGACTCCAGTGTTTGAATATTTTGTCAGACTGTCTCTGCGCTCACAAATGGATGCGCTCCCTGCCCTGGCTGTACAAATCTGTCTCTCAGTGTGACAGAAATGCATTTTATTTTTCCCCAACACAAATGAAATGTTGTTTCCTCTTCAAAATGTCATGTCAAACTTTGAATGCATGCATCATTCTGCAAAGCCAGTAAAAGCGTGATATTCCTCCGGCCGCGGTGACTTTGCCAGACACTGCAGCAACAGACGGCTTCATAAACACTGACGTTAATGACTGTTTTTTTTTAGTCAGAGCACCAATATAACAGCGTGCACATTCTCCACTTCTGAATCACAGCGCTTCGCTCTGCCCTCTGAGATATTCTACTTGGCTGCCCGTGGAAGCTTTAGTCACTTGTCAGCAAAGTGCAAAGCTCAAATGAATTCACCTTAAACTCCTTGAGACTGTTTCTGCTCAGGTCAGCTTTAAATGAAACACAAATTAATCTACAACACTGGAGGGCTGACC